GCAACACCGAAGCTCAGGCAGAGTTGATAGTCCACCCCGCTGACTATAAGGTGCCTGATCTAAAGCACGTTGCCCCAGGTACGTCAGCCCCGCAGTAATTTAGTTCACCAATGTTCTTTCAGAAAACCCCTTCAGAAAGATGATGGCTCTGAAGAAGGTGGAATGCACGCCGGAACTGAACAAAGCTTTCTCCAAGTCGAAGCCTACGCCAGAGACTATTATCATGATGGAGAGAGGTGAGTAGCTATTAGAGGGAATTCAAAATTTTATTCCTCAACGCATAGGCACGGAAATGAAGGTGAAAAACTTCCGGTCGCCGGAGGTCGTAGCTGCCGAGGAGATGCTAGACAAGATTACGCATGGGCTTCGCAAATCTGAGATCAACAAGGTAAGTCCAGTGAGCAATTACTTACCGGTAACATAAAACTACCTACTCATGTATTACAGTAGCCATTTAATGTTACTAACACGAATGCTCTACTATACAAGGGAAGACAAGGCGACAATTAGATGATGACGGATTGTTCCCTCAACGGTCTCCATCTGCTTGCGCCTCGATTGGAACTTTCGCCATGGAACCTATGGGAAACCATTTTTAACTTTCTCATCCCGCAACTGAATGCGCTGCTCTGCAAGTGTTGAATGACCTCGCTTCTACTTTGTCAGCCAAAACCCCTGCTCCTTCCTTTTTCACTATTTCGGTCCTACAAGCTTGCCTTTTAATTCGGACTATCCCTAGGCAAAATTCCCTCAAAACAAGTACCAGTCCTACAGTTTGGGTCCTTGTGTCAGTAATATTGCCAACTTCCTGCTTGGTTTGCCTTTCTCAATCCTTTTTTTGCCATTTTCGATTGTTTCGTCTTTTATTTGCCCATGCGATTATTGAAAACAGCAGAAGATCTCTTCACTCCGACCAGTAGTTGACTGTGACGATAAAGGTGATTTATGCACGTTAGGGGACTGCAATACGTGATCGATATTTCCTTGGAATAGTCTTGGAACTTATATTTTGTTAGACGACTTACAGAATACTGTGAAGTAGACAACTTAGAAACGCGTATACATAGTGGACAGATGACGAACTTAGTTTTATTTTTACCTAAAAAATTCTTGGAATCCTAGCTGCATGCCCAATTAATTTGCGCACGCAAACAGGGCAATAATTGGGAAAGTAAGGTCACAAGTTGCATAACTAGGACGAATTTTGATTATCCTGAATACATACAGCAAAATTAATATGAGAAAAGATTGGAGGTCAAGATATAATATTGCCTTCATCATCCCCGGAAGAGAAAGAAGAAGAGGGGGCAATTCCTGGGACCAAGTTATATTTAAGCTGACGTTTCGAAAACATTATCGTTCTCATCGTCAGACTCTGGTGCCTACTCTTCCTTCGGCTTCCATTAATACGCCCCACAACCAGCCTTGTGTTATGACCGTGGCTAATGCAAGCGCGTCGATCGATTGCACCGATCGATCGCTGCTGGTTGTTAGAATCGTTCTCACTCTCGCGGGCGCCTCCATGGGAACGTGTGGTGCGCTGTTCACGTGACCCCTGATCGTTGCCAACCTTTTCCCTCGCGGATACCGGAGCTCCGCACAAGAACAACGTCCGTT